CCGAAAAATGAAAGATGAGGAAGGCTTTTTTACCCACACAATCTTGATTTTCGTGGCCGTGCATACCCTATGCACCCATATTTGAACCATCTTGGGTCTGATCTGTGCCGAGGCATTCTGGAATTTGCAGAGGGCCGTTCTCTTGGCAAATCAGGCTTAAGCTGGCTGAAAATACATATAGCAAATCTATATGCTGGTGGTGTGGACAAGTTATCCTACAATGGGCGAATAGAATTTACCGAGAAACATTTGGATGACATCTTTGATTCTGCAGACAGGCCCCTTGAAGGAAGGCGCTGGTGGCTGGGTGCAGAGGATCCTTTTCAATGCTTGGCAGTATGTATTAATCTTGCCGAAGCATTGAGAAGCTCCTCTCCAGAAACTACCATATCCCATATGCCTATCCATCAGGTATTGTATTCTGTTACAACTGACAGATTTTACCATGAGACATTTATCTGCAAATGCAATTATCTTTCAAAGAAATATACGAGTGTAGTTCACGTAGGTTTGGGCATGTGTTTGTCATTGCATAAAACCTTGAATCCCAACTTTTTGGCGTTCACATAAAAAGTGGGCACAACAAGAGAAATGAATTGTGTCCAGTCTTTTTATCTGTGAAACATTTTTATTCTTTCAAGGGAAATGTGAATTGATTAAATTTTGAAGGCAACTCCTGCCTTTACGGTATTGTGGTGCATGTGCATTGACGCAGACAAACCAACAATCAAATGCAGTAGGTGATGTGTCTAATTCTACAACCAAAATCTTAATCTTTTTGCCACCAAGATCTATTGTGTGCGCTTTTCACTATCAATGTCTTTGCCATAACATGGTAATCCATAGTTCGTCTGTGTTGACTAAACAAATCAAAATAATGGTAGTTCGCTGCTCTTCTCTTTGCTTTATCTAGCATTGCTTAGCCTTTTGGAGATTAAAAGTTGTCAAGTACAACTCGGATTTCATGTTCATTACAATTAGGGTTGTTAGTCGAACAAGCCCGAGCCGAGTTTGAAAAGTTTGTTTCTTAATTAAGCTTAAAAAATTGTTCAAGTTCGGCTCATTTAGGAGACAAGCCGAGCCTGAACGAGCTAAAAACAAGTCGAGCCCGAGTATTTGCGCATAAACGAGTCAAGCCTATCGAGTTTGAGTCGAGCTTGTAAGACTTGTTTTCTAAATGAGTCTAAAAACTTGTTCAAATTCGGGCTCGTTTAGAAAACGAACCGAGCCTGAACGAGCCAAACCCGAACCGAACTCAAGCAAGCTCGAGTAGCTCAATTTGATTAACAACTATAATTACAATGTTATCATATCCAATTCTAATTTTTAGATTCCATTGTCGATCTTAATCTGAGGTTTTGTTCTTGTTTGTTCCTTTTCAAGGATGGTTCGTGTAATGGCTTGCAACACTATGCTGCCCTTGGAAGGGACAAGGTAATGAGCTTTCTTCGCGTTGGTTGATATTAAGTGGTGCCTTGTGACCAAAGCACTTGTCAACATAAATAACCAAAGATGCATTCTGTATGGGTATATGTTTTCGGTAGCAACTATAGTTGCAGCTCATAGTCTTTTTCTTTTTCTTTTTTCTCATTATGTGTCTGATGCTGAATTATCCTATTTTCCAACATCTCTATCTGAAATTATTGGCACTGAAAATCACAACATACGAATAGTCTTTTGATTAGTAAAGGAAAGCATCATCTTAGAAGAACATAGAGCTTAGGATGCTATTTGAGTTAATATACCAGATGGAGGCTTAACTATTAATCTCAAGGATATGTAAAATTTATCAGTTGAATTGGGAAATGGACAGTTTTGTGATTTGAATGCGAAATTATTTGAGTTTATAAGATCATTTGGACGGATATTTTCACTTCTTAGAAAGTTCCTTCAAGTACTCTTGGAAGTAGGAAAATTTATTAACTTTTCTGCTGTCTTCGTAAAGAGGTTTGTTCTGGTTTGTAATGTGTTGTATGTACATTTTCCAGGTTCCTCTCTACTTGTTTTTGTGTCTCATTGAAAATTCTTCATTTGTCCAGTTAGGAGCTGCTGCAGTCAATCTTGTTGCAGGAGAGAAGCCTGCTGACGTTTATTCGGGAATTGCTGCTAGGTAAGCTATTATCTCCTATGGGAATTTTTCTGTCTGGGTGTGTGAGGTAACTGTAAATTGTCTTAGAAAACAATTATATGAAGCAACGGTAACCCAATTCCAGAACCTGGCTGAATGAAGAAGAATTTTTTTATTTTTTGCTTTGAACTGAAGTCAAATTGTAAAGCAGCAATTTCGTTGTTTAGTGTAATTGTTCAGTTGGATCTGGATTGTTGCCATCCAGCTGCCAAACTAGGAAAGTGAAGCTGTCTTAAAGGCACACAATTTTTGTGGTAAGATTAAAGTTTGTTTGCGATGCAGAGTTCTTGATATCATGCAGAGAGATGCAGCAAAAGATCCGGCAACTGATCGGGATGCAGTGCTTGCCAGGCTGTTAGTCAACCAGGTTTGATTTGACTTTAATTTGTGTGTAGGATTGGGTAACCAAGTTATTTACATGTACATTATTATTTACACCAATTTCATTGCTTTGTTTTCTTTTTGGTATTCTTTCCTGCACATACTACCAGGCACCTGATTGCTGTTATGTCAATTCACACTTTTAACTAAACCTGGTTATCCTCAGGTGGATAGGAAATTGGTCAAGCAAACAGTCATGACATCAGTGTATGGTGTCACTTATATTGGTGCCCGAGACCAAATCAAGAGGAGGTTAAAGGAACGTTGTTCCATTGAAGATGATGCAGAGTTGTTTGCTGCATCTTGTTATGCAGCAAAAGTAAGCACATGCGGCTAGAACTGTGCAATATCAGTTTGGAAATTTTCTCTCTTCCCCCATAAATATAGATTTGTATTCAAGGGAGTTTTGACCTAATTGTATTTCACTGTGTGAGCAGACCACCTTGACTGCTTTAGGAGAGATGTTTGAAGCTGCACGAAGTATTATGAGTTGGCTTGGTGACTGTGCAAAGGTGCGTTTTGTTTACTAGCTTTGCTCCAAACACCAAAATTTTAGATCGTCACCATCATTTGCTGCAAAGGCAATTAACGTGTGCAACCAAGGGATCGGTATTGTGAGATTGATTGATTAAATACCCATGCATTGTTTCTACTCAATATAAAAAGCAAATAAGTAGTAACTTTTACTTGTGCAGCTCTGAAGACAATAGTTCACTCGGTGTTTGGGTCTAGAATTAGAGTAATACAATATTGATTTGTTTCTTTGTTGTTGGCATTTGGTCTGAATTGAAACTGCATGTGGCGTGTGATGTGCTCTAACAATTGGATATACGTGAGTGTTGGTGTTGAACTCTGCATATTTAGAAATCTATTCGAATGTTGCAGGTGACTACAGGGATTGTGATAGCGAGTCATCTACCTTTTCTGTTTTGCAGTTTATCCATTCCTCAATATACAAAACACATTTCCTCTCCTGATATCGTTTCCAGTTTTTATTTTTCATTTTTGAGTCTTCCATTTATGGGTTCAAGCATTGTTACCATTTTAGGCATAAAAGGCTAAGATTTTGTTATCAAAGAATACGACTGATGAGGAATACATATAAAGGTTACCTAGTGAGTCTTAAAGAAGCTAATACACTTTGCTTGATGCCATTCAGCGGGAGTATCGTAAATAACCTGTAACCTTCTATGATATGGTTAGGAGACATTGGGGCCTTCTCTCATTAGTTCAGTGGGTTATGTGGTGAGTTGGTTACAGTCAGTTGTCAAATTCTCTATAATTCTGAAAGAAAGGGTCATGGAATTAATATTTTGCTCGTCCAAGAAATTAAGAAGCCATTACATATGAGAAAGAGGAAAACTTTGTAGTGCTTTCCCTGGGGATAAGAGCACTTTGTTTCCTTCCATTGCTGGGTGATGCTTTCTAACTGAATTGTTTTAGTGCATTTTGCATTTGTTGTTTTTGGATTTTGCATTTTGAAATCTTCCTTCAAACACACTAACCAACCTGATTTTCCCTAAGCAAACATATTGCTGATATTGATAAAAAATCCAAATTTATTGGCCTAGGCCTTTTGCAGATCTCATGCTTGAATTTGTTGGCCCCACCTCTAGGATTGGTGTAAAAAATGTTTTTTTTTTCATTTTTCCAGTTTTCCAATATCTTTATGACGATAGATTTCCCTCCTCCTTTTCAAATCAATATGTTCATTATGCGACTTAGATGTAATGCATGAGTTCATTCCTTGACAAGTGCATATGTTTTTGACCACTAGCGTACCAGGAGTAGTGGTATTCTTGATACTTGGGCATCATTGCTGACCAATGTTCTTGTATTCTTTTACTTTATTTTCCTTTTTTGTAAGGGTTTTGCTGGCCTGTTGGTATATTGCATTGACCAATGGCTAAAAATGTCCACATACAGATTATCGCTATGGAGAATCAGCCAGTACGTTGGACAACTCCTCTTGGGCTCCCTGTTGTTCAACCTTACCGTAAATTAGGAAGACATCTTGTAATGACTTGAGATATTCAGACTTAGCAGAGTTTCTATTATCTTTATTTTGATATCCATATTCTTTAGGAGTTAGGACATAAAACCACCAACATTCCATTTTGATTTGACATGGAGATGATGTTGTGAAACTTAATGCAGATTAAGACTTCTCTTCAGATTTTAACACTACAACGAGAAACTAACAAGGTAACTTTTCAACTTTGGTATGTTGTTGCTTCTGTAATTAGCTATATCTGGTTGTCATTACTGTGCAGCTATAAAGCACGGATACTTTAAAAGTTTCAAAGTATCGGTATTGGATACTTCTCGAATACGGATACGTGTTTGATACGACTGATAAGTATCCTAGAATTAAAAAAATTTAAATATCGGATACGTTGGGATATGTCAGGATACGCAGATGATATGTCAAGGATATGGCGGGGTATTACTAAATTTTTTTAAAAAGAATAGGGCACCAAAACAAATATGTTTTAGCCCTTTTTTGCAAAAAAAAACAAAGAAAAATTTATGAATGTATGATTTCTGAATGATTAGTTATTATTATATATCTTTGATAGATGTGTGATTCACTTTATAAATCATAATTTTTATATTAAATATAATAATAAAATTTTTAAAAAAATATATTTTATGGACATATTCTAACCGTACTCGTATCCTTTTTTTTAGGTTTTGTCGTATCGTTGTATCCGTATCCGTGCTTCGTAGTTGTACAATGTGGTGTAGTTACTATCATCTTGTTGCTGAACTCTACATTAGAAAAATCAAGTTCAGAAAGATTAAGATCAACATACATAACAATGCAATTTTTTGTGGTTCCTACCTTTTCTTGAAATCATAATGCGTCTTTGTTTTCCAGTTTCCCATATTCCATAATATAGGTTTTCAAGCTTCACTTAATGAATCGTTTCTCTGGGGTGATAGGTCATGGTTAAGCGGCAGAGAACAGCTTTCCCTCCAAATTTTGTTCACTCCCTTGATGGTTCTCATATGATGATGACTGCCATTGCCTGCAAAGAGGCGGGCTTGAATTTTGCTGGTAATGTGACGTTTCTCATCTTCCTTTTCCCCCTTGGGTGCTTTGTGGTAATTCTAACTAGTCTGCAAAATTTCTGATCACAGGAGTGCATGATTCATATTGGACACATGCATGTGATGTTGACCAAATGAACAGGATCCTCAGAGAAAAGTTTGTTGCGCTCTACGAGGCACCAATCCTGGAGAATGTGAGTATCCACGCTTCTTTATGTTCAAATTGGGATGCCCATTGCCCTCTGTTTCTTCAGTCATACTTTCTAGAAAATGATTTCAGAATTGCAACAAATCAACCTTATTTGTATCTATTCTGAAAGGAATGAATTGTGTCAATAATTTGCTATCCTCGTCTAGTGGCTTGGGTTAACCATTTTTTCCAAAAAGTTATTTTGTTGTACATTGCTGCAATTGAATGGTTTTAATCACTTTGATATGTTTTTTTTTTTTCGCATGTCTGAAAGAACATCAGTTGTACTTCTTATATTCTTATTTATGCTGTGTGAGTAGTACTTATCAAATGGCCTCTTCTTTAAACTTCTGTTTGAAAATGAAAGTGAGACCCCAACTTACTGTTTTCCTTTCTCTCAACTCTCTTGTTAATTTGATTTTTAATGGTTGCTTCTATTTACAGTTGCTGGAGAGTTTTCAGACGGCCTTCCCTACATTAAATTTCCCTCCTTTACCAGAGCGGGGAGACTTCGACTTAAGGGAGGTTTTGGAATCTCCATATTTTTTCAATTAGAAGAATGAGATGCTTGATTTTGGAACTGTGCAGTGCTGACTCCGGTGGTATCTTGAACTGTGTCATTGAGTGACCAAGTGGTGGCACCTTTATATTCTTGGATTCATGGCCATGGCAATGAAGGTGGCAAGCACCCCACTTTTGTCCGGAATAAGTGGAAGAAGTAAAATAGAGAACATAATGGTAAGGAGCTTCCTTCGCGCCCACAATCCATGGATCTACAATTGTACATATGTCAGAAATGCCCTCTTCATGCTTCACGATTGACTTGGCGTACTGCTTTAGGCACTATGTCATGGTCAACAGGGTTTCAGTTGACATGCTGGTGCAATCTGCAGTTATAGCTGGAAGAGTAGCTGCAATTGGGGTGTAAATAGAGGAAATTTCTAAAGCTTCAGCGATTTAGTAGGAATATTCGATTGATGAATTGATTCAACACACAATGATGCCATTTTGGCCTTCAATTCCATTACAAATGACAAGGTATGAGTCTGAGTTGGTTTTCAAGAAGGTTCAAGGGACATGGCTAAGGGGATTGTAGGTTTCATTCCTTTGTAAGATCCGATTTTGTATCCTTTGAGGTAGGATATGTACACTAGGCTGGTATTTGTTGCAAGCAGTGGCTCTCTTGTTTTATGCTCCAATTTTTTCGATAAAACATTTTATAGAAATAAGAAAGAAATAATTTTTTTGATGAGTCAAATGAGAAGAAATAGAATCAGCAATGGATTCAAAATTTCACAGATTGACATTGTAATTTCTTCTTCTGGTGCTCTCCTCTCCTAACTTTCTCAATCATATTTAGTCGAAGGCAAAATAATATTTTGTTCTGTGTTCACGTCTCAATTCTGTGGTTGGACATGTCTCTGCATCTGTGTTTGTTCTTCCTTCTTGATTGTAGCAGCCAATGAAGCTTAGCAACAGTTAAATTCGGATTGGAATGGAGAGTTAAAATTTGTGCTGATAGAACTTGGCCATGTATTTGGTTGGAGTAATTAAAAGAAAAAGAGGCAGGTAAAGGCTGTTCATCAATCTAGGCCTACATTATTGTGTTGGCCAAGATCAGTGTTCCTGAACACTGGAAGCTCTTTTTTTCGTTCAAAAACGAGCACTGAAAGCTTATTAGGATACATCGATCTGGTGAACTAGACAACAAAATGGTTAAAGAACTTCTCATAATGCAAATAACTGATAGAGTGCAAAAGAAAAGGAGTAAATCAGCAAAACAGCAAACTGAGTGTTCATGTAAAATTTCCAACTTTCGGATGATGAAACACAGAAAAGAGACGACAACAGGAAGATTCACCCATGTATTATGATCCAGTGCCAGAAGCTTTGTAAGCAATAGATAAATGCAGAGGACAGATCAGTATCCAATGAAAATTTAACACTATGGGAACTGCTAGAACTCCTCAACCTGTATATTTGAGTACCATTCACCCATGTGTTTTAGCTTCTCCAATGTCCCCTCCACAAACAATACGATTCTGAAACCAGATTTTAAATGGTCACACAGTTTGGAGCCATTTGCAACAACTGATGGGAGAAACTTTCTCCTGATCTGCTAACGACGACGCTACCGAGATTATTCACATGGGGGATGCATCTCTCTTGATTAGGGCGTAGGCATCACTGTATATTGCTACCACATTTGCAAACACCGCTAAAACAATCATAAAAATAGATAAGATCTTGTCCTTCTTTGTAGCTATGCCATGGGCATCCCTGATATATGGTGAACAGAAATCAGATGGTGAATAAAATTGCAGTTTACAAATTCGAGTTTCGAGTAAAGGTACTCACCTTAGAGCAACTGCCCCAGGAAAGATGAACCCAAGGCACACTGCAGCAGTTGCTCCAGTAAACTGGAAAGCATCCCAAATAGTGGGTATGAAATTTGCACCTAAAAAGACCAGAGAAATCAAACCCATGCTAATCAGTGCAAATCGAAGGTTATCTGAAACCAAAGACCTCGCAGAGGGAAAGAGGAGGCCATCCAAATTTAGGCGAAGTGGATAGAATAGGACTGGGAAAACAAGCATGAGGTGGAGAGTATAGCTGACACGAACAACATCATTGAGCTGAGAACTATAAGGAACGCTAAGGTTGGTATCGAAGTTGGCCAGCACATCGTCAAGTGTTGAATCGCCAAACAGGAGGAAACCGAAGAAGCTTGTCATTAGGTAAACAGCGGAGCATAGACCCAATGAAGTGCGCACAACCATTTGTATCAGGGAAGGGTCTTCAAGCTCATCCTCGATAATGTGCACTGCAAAAAAAATGTGAAAGAAAAAGACATTCTATAAACTGAAGGAATTAAATGAGTTAAATAACTCACTTCTTCTACAGCAATACAGACTATGGAAAGAAGCTACGAATGTGTAGATCTGAATTGACTAAATTGGTGCTTTATTGTCATGTAGCTCTAAATTCCATATATAGTCAACTTAATATGCTCCTCAACAGATCATACAGAAAGTTCTAACCAGAGAATTTTCTTTTCTTGTCATGCTGGGCACAAAAGGACTAAAGCTGATAAAACAATAAGTTCGTATATTGACTGAAATGTCTCTTATGGGACATCTAATGGAATTGGAATGTACAGAAATGTTGAAATAAGTGAAGTGGTATTACTTGGCATGACCGAATCACAGCTCCATTAATTCAGGAGGAAAAAGTGAAATACTGAGGTAGTACCAAAGATAACTAGGCCAAGGAGCTGAATAACCAAGCCTTGAAGAGAGGCTGGGGTGAAAAGGTACACCAACAATCTTTAATCCAATTAAACTGATACTCAGCAAGGTTGCGTACCTTCAACCACTATGCAAAATGGTCCAAAACTAATGGTACATCCATGGAAAATGTTTAAAATGATATACTTCTACAGTTATACTGCTGATGTTATATTAGGAATACACATTAGCTTACATACCATTGAAGTGGCAGACATAGGCGGTGACAAGAACAGGGACCACTGTGAAGAGTTTCCAGACCGAATTAATATCAGAAACATCAGGGAGCAATCTGGGCACTTCAATACTTCCATTCACCAATTTAACAATTGTGATTCCTGCAGTGATGACTAGGAAAACAATTGCCAGTGCAACTGCCAATGCAGATGTGAATCTCAATGAATCTGCAAAAACAACAAAAAATGTTGTTTACTATCAAAATCTGCAACTTCTTGAGGATTGCAGTGCTTTGGAATAGAGCCTCAATTATGAAAAAGTTATTGTTGTTAGTTCCTAATAAATTTGGTAGATTTGAACAGAAGTGTATAGCTTCTAGTTTCCAGCATTTCGGTATGTGGGAGAAGTCTCAAACCATTGAATATCTTTAAAATAAAACTCCATGTGTTCAAGATGTTATTACTTTTTTCTTCTGTTTTGCTCCATTAATGACATGATAGACATATGAACAGAACACTTGCTCTGATTTGGTGAAAGAAAATGAAAAGAATGCCTTTATTGCTAGTTTGCTGTTCAATATTGGCATGAATGAATCAGGTGAAATTCAAGATAGGTGCAATCACTTACAAGTAACAGATAAACTCAATATCTATCTCTACTATATATCAAACTTAGAAGTATACAATTTGCAACAAACTAACTATCCAAGTATCAAGAAACAATTTTTTCGCCACTTAAAAGAATTAGTTGTGTGTAGCCAATAGGAACTAAATGATGTACAATTACTGGTACCAAGAACTAGTGAACTTCAATCTAATTTTGTGCTCGAGTAGAATGTTCAACAATGGCATAAATATATTCTCTTACCGATACGCTTAAAACTTGCCAATGGAGCAAACACGCCAAGGGTTGTTACAACAAGGACAAAGGCACGCCCATTCCACCAGTGTTCTCCAAACCATTCTTCCAACAAACCAGCATGGTGAATACCACTTGAAGATGACCCTGATAGCACATCACCTACTCAAAACAAACAAGAAGAACCCATAAAAAAAAACGAAACAAAAAGCCTGTCCAATCCACGAGACTCTCCATTGTGGAGTCTGGAGAGGGTACGCCACCAAGGCCCACCCTCGAACTCAAATAGAAAACTAATCATTTGCATGCAATTTATATGAACCTTGAAATACAGAATTATATAAACCAGTAGTCCTTAGACTCCTTACCGATGATGATCATATAGACAATAAGTATACCGATGCTATTGATCACCACAGAAACTTGCAACAATCTTCTTCCACCATTCCCAAATGCCTCATGCATAACACCACCATAAGAAACTGACCCACTAACCCTACTGAACCTTAACAACAACCCCACAGAAGCCTCGGTCAATACAGCAATGAAGATGATCATGGCCATGCCAAGCCCAAGACCTAGCACTTTCATGGCGGCAGGCAATGCCATTATACCAGCACCAATAATGGTGGTGGAAAGATTGAAAACTGCGCCTACAAATGATGCTCCATTGATCTCTCCTTCAATTCTTCTTCTTCCAAGATCAGTGTCCCCAATTTTTTGGGGAAATAACAGAGGGACTTGTTCATCATTAGAAACAAGAGAAAAATCTTTCTTGTTCTTTCTTGGTGAGTTCTGGGTGTTCTTGTTCTGTTCATTTACAGCTTTGATCTCCATGGTTTTGAAAAAATGGAGATCAAGGTGAAATGGGTTTGTGAAATTTTGTAGAAGAAGGTATATATGAGAATGTTTGGATATCTATGGGCAGATAGAATAATGGCTTCATGAAAGACTACGTTTGGTGGTGGTTTTGTCAGCGTTCTTATCAGTGGAAGGATATGATTGGTCTTTGGTACCGAAATAGACTCTTGGAGAGCTGAATGGGCGGAAACAAACTTCGTCGTGTTGTTCTAAAATATTTTGAGTTTAGACCCAATCGAATTCGATTTGACTGTGGAATTGCTGTGGCTTTCGTGGCGAACATCAAAAGTTTTGTTCTTTTCTTGTTGCAAATCTGGTCGAGTGGTGAGGCTTTATGATAAAAAAGACAAGTGGTGAGGCTTTGAGTATATCTTGATGAGCATTATTAAGTGGGTTCAAACTTGTCGTGCCCCCCTATCTTATAGTGACTGATTAAATAACAAAGAGTAAATTATACTTATAATTTTTAAATTATTATTTTTGTATCAATTAAATTTTTAATTTTTTTTTGTGTTAATTGAGTTCTTAAACTCTCTAACTATGTCAATTGAGCTCTTTTGTCTGTCTCCATTAGAGTGTGTTATTCATGTGACTATATGACACAAAAAGATAAAATAGTTCAATTAATACAAGTAGAGAATTTATATGCTTAATTAACATAAAAGTTATAATTTGAGGGTCATATATGTAGTTTACTATGATCATTTCACGTGACACACTATTTCACTTTTTGTTAGAAAACGGAGGCAGACAAAATGATATAATTAGAGAATTTAGGGACTCAATTAACAAAAAAAAAATTAGGGATTTAATTGATGTAAGAGCCGTAATTTGAAGACTATATGTATAATTTACTTTAAAAAAAAGGTATAGCTTCATTAGGAATATTTTAGGCTAGGCAGTTGGATAACTTTTTCTCCAGAGTTGGGATTCGTCAAGTATAATTTGAACGAATAACCTAATATATATACACACACACACATACTAGTTATTGTCGGTATTTGAAGGCACAAAATAATAAAAAAAAATTATCAATTATAAACATATTTGTATTCACACCTAAAAATAAATCACAAAATATAAGAGAAAAAAAAAAATTTAAGCACTAGTTGTAGTAGAGGTAAGTAGTGGTACTAGTGAGCGGTAGTAGTGGGAGATAATTCTGTTTATGATGGGCAATGAAAATCGTGATGGCGGCAACAGCCATGAATGGTACCTGTGATGGTGATGATGGGGTCATGGGTGATGATGATAGTAGTGCCAATCATGAGCGACAGTGGTGGTGGTGGGTTATGGTAGGGGCGGTGGTGATGGTGGTGGTGGGCGACATTGGGTGCTTGTGAGTAACAAGATGTGGTGGGTGGTGGTAAGTGTAGTGGGGGTAGGTGACAGTGGGGGTGGCGACGATGATGAACGATGATGGATGGTGTTAACTGTAATGAGAATGGGTAACAATGAATGACGAGGGTGGTGGGCGATGATGGGCAATGGTGGGTTGTGGTAATAGATGGTAGTGGGCAATGATAATAGTGGTGGGTAACGGTGACGGTGGAATAATGTTAGTAATGATAATAAATATGATAATGATGATGATGAGTGGTGGATGGTGATGATGGCGATGATGATAATGGTGGTGGTTGTAGGAGATGTGGCGACGGTGGCAGTGGGGCGGCTACGGCGACCGTGATAGTGAAGTGTTTTGTAAAAAAGTTGTTTTAGAGAAGTAGAAATTATTATTATTATTTTTTTTACTTTTATTTACTTATTTAAGTGATAAAATTATTTTTAACTTATTTGGAAGTAATTAAAAAAAGTTGTTCGAAACACTACTTTTTATTTTATTTTTTATAAGTCTTATAACACACCTTTGAAAAGTTACTCAAAATATACTCTTAGAGGAGTCTATTTTTTCTATTAAATTTAGAGAGTTAATTTTAGTCGTCAGATTAATTTTAAAATAAAATTTAAAACGATCTAAACTGTGAAAGTAAAAATCATTTTTTATATTATACTTTATTTTATATATTAGTTATTGCTCATGCCTGAAGGTCAGGAGTAATAAAAAAAAATTGTCAATCATAAACATATTTATATTCATATCAAAAATCAAATCACAACATAGAGGAGAGAGAAAGGGATTAAGCACCATTTATAGTGGTGGTAGACAACAATGGTTGTGGTAAAAGACGGTGATGATTGTGGTGAATAGTGACGACCATCGTGGTGGTGGTGGTGATAGGTTTTAGGTGACGATGATATATATTTTTATACATGGATTCATAATTCGTTATATAATATTTTACAGATTTAAATTTGAATACACCAAAAATTTGGTCCATAATATGTATATATTTTTTATATAAATATTAAAAAAATTAATTAATTATTTGAAGAAATTTAGTTCAAATTTAGATACAATTTGTTAAATTTTAGTTAAATTAACTTATTCAGATCGAATTTTCATATTAAATTTCAGATTGTTAGACGGATTCGAATTTAGATCATAAAAATAAAATTTATCAAATAATCAGATGAGATATAAATCAACTTTAAAATTACATTCAAATTCAGATGAATCTAAATCCGATCCGCTGATATCCATTCGAGAAGGGTGGCCAAAATAAAACGTAATAAGGAGCCCCAGCACTGATCCAAAAATAGACCAAAGAGAACCATATACACCTTGGGCTGGAGATCTTGTGGACTGGGAGATCTGGTTGATGAGACCTTTCAAACCTTAGGGCCAGCCCGAGAGCCTAATCCGTAGTCCAATTAACCAACCTGCATAGAGCCATAGAGTTTCGCAAAAAGTATAATTCATGTCCAATTTTTTCTACAATGGGGCCCAAAAAATTGGCAGGTGAGCAAACATGCATGCACGTGTTTACTTGTGAAGTTTTTTGTAAGGTTGTGTAGGGGCCAATAGCAGTGGACATGTGAGTTGGTTGTCCCTTGGTCAGAGATGTATGGTAAAAGATATTTTTGTAATTGTGTTGCATTTATTTGTAGCACTAACATTGTATGATAATTGTGTGGTCACTTCCTCTATAGTCTCTATACTCTTGCTCGATTCATTGTAGTTTTGGTGCGACTCAACATTTTGCATCGATGGATGATAAAGTTGATGTGGATAAGAGCTTCAACTTTTTAATTGGAATGCATGCTAGTTGTTCGGAAATATGGAAGAGGTTGGCCGTAACACCCTATTTGTTCCATGATTTATGAGTCTACTGGAGCTATCTATTTTGATCAATTAGCCAAAATTTTGATCGGATACGAAATCACTGGTACCCTATTTAGTGGTATTTTTATGAAAATTCTATTAATTGTTGTCAGATTTCTATTCAAGATCACTATAGTTTCTTTTCTGGTGTCTGTAGGATGGACGACCGCCTATAGGTGATAGGGGAGGGTGGGTGGTGCCGTTCAGATTGCGGCCAATCTTCCTATGCCCAAGACCTAAGTGTTTGTTATATAATATCAGAGCTACAACAAAGTATGAAAAAATTACAAAACTAGCCTTTACAAGTGTGGAGAGTATCCGTGACAATAATAATTTTGAATGATAGAGAAGTTCTTATTAAGGGTAGAATGGGTGAGAAAATTTCAAGGCACTTGAATAGGGTGCCCAATTTCACCAATGATTTTACCATCTAAAAATCTCTCATAAACCTACCAAACTCTAGTTGTAAACATTAATATCATGGTAGTTCACACCACACACCAAGGATTTGATCCTGTAACATCTATCATTATCTACCAACCTCAAGTTATGCATATAAATATCATATAGTGTAAATATCCCACTATATCGTATGCTTTCAAATGCAATATTGAAATATTATTTTTTTCTCAGACGGCATCTAAGTGACAAATGTGAAAGCCCTTACAAGTTATAACCGGCCAACCAGCCATTTGTCAAAGCAAATCTTTAGATATTTTGTTGTTAATGTGCAAGGGTTCCGGGATTTGATTCTTAATTGCCGGTCATGGATGAGGTTGATGGCCATTTTCATAGTCATTATAGATGAAGATTGCCTCTTTTGCACCGTTGAGGGGTGTAAATTCGTGTTGTGTGATTTACATGTCTTGTTTATGTCAAGACCCACGAAAAAAAAATTTATTTAGTGTATTTTGAGTATCAAACATTAGTGTGGACCATTTATTATGCGTATTAATAATCGTATCGTGTCAGATTCGTGTCAACAGGTGGGTCAACACCACACTCTTCTTAGGTGTCTTTTGTATATTTTGTGAAGCCTTTGGCTATGTATATTTTGCATACTATCAATACAACTTTTACTAACGCAGAAAAAAATGGTATAAAGGAAGATCATATAACCAAAAGTTCCAAAGCTTTTGAAGACTGCAACACCTTTATAACAACTATTCCCACACCATGTCAACAAATCTATGGATGTCACAAATTTGATCACGTTTGCAAGTTTCATCGATCTATATACAAGTAATAATTGGGTGGGTCCTTTTCAGGTTCATGTGCGTGTTGGGTTCAACTGCAATTGACAAAGTAGAAAATGCAGTCTTAATACTACCATACATCAAAAATAAATCAACACTAACAGTGACAGAAATTATTGGTATATCTCTTTCTGTTTCAATGACGTTAACAAACTATGATAAACAACTACCTATATGTGTGTAAATATATTCAGATTTCTCGACAGCATTTTTCATTAAAGAGGCATAGTTTTAGAGGTTCAGAGAAATATAAGACTAGATGTGTGTTCGGGGATAAGTTCGGATTCATAACATTAGTGGTGGCATATCCTCCGCTAAAACCTCACCTAATCAAACACACCTGTAGTTTTTGTCTTTGGGTCTCCAAATATACCAATTGTTGATAATCTAGTGAGCAATTTAACTTTATATCTGACTTTTATATCAAAATCTGCCGTTTTGATCGCAACTTTGTGAAAAGCCTTTTTGTTTGTTTTTCCTTTGTTCTGGGCATCTCTTGACGGCCATCAATCTGATTGTTTGTAGCTCTTGTGTTTTAGCATCCTACAAACCTCATC